GGGGGCAAATTTACCAAATTCAGTGGCAGCAAGAGCATGGAGGAAGTAGCCATGGACCAATTGAACATATATAGTTGAGAATTGAGGGCCTTTTCCACCAAAGACAATGTTACGACCCCATACAATGTTTAGTTTCTTGAGCTACCATCTATGTCTACATCTGAAGACAGACACTCCCATATCCAAACATCATTCCTTCACGCATCCATAAACAAAAGGATAAGGTCCTGCATATATATAGATTTGCAAGTGCAGATCAGCAAGATGCCCATCACACGAGTTATTCGAGTAAGCAAGGAGCAAATTAAATAGTCGTACCAAAAGAGCAAGCACTTAACAGCACTTGGCCTTGCGCTTGGCCTTCCTGGTTTTAGTTGCGTCTGGACTTCTTGGCTTTAGTGGGGATCACCTCATCAGCCAACGTCACATCCTTCAGTTTACTTCAGACAGGCAAAAGAGTCAAACCCACATACAACAGTGCTGATGGATGAAGCATTAAACACTGGGGGCGAGTGGAAGAACATACCTTGAGGTACCACCCGCCTTGTCGCCTAGGGCAGCAGGATCATTGACGATCGTTACATTTTCTTAGAAGACCAAAGCACATACAACCCATTAGACGAGTATGTTACCGATATCGCTCCTATTCATAGAAAGTGCAGAAGGAATACCTCTGAACTGTCATTTGGGAAAAGAGGCTTGTATATGTCAGTATTTCCAGTTCAGTTTTGGAAAGGCCTTTCCTCAAGCCACTGCCATTGTGGACAACAAAATAAGACAAAAATTTCCAATCAACAATAATGAGTTGCATATGCACATAGCTCTGAATCAGGACTTGGTTTGATTGTTCTGAAACACAACAAAATAGAACTGAAGAGAGGGATCTCTCAACCAGCAAAGCGAGTACGGGGGTGACGATATGCAAGAATATCAAACATGATCATACAAGTGCCTAATTATATTATTAGTATATTTTTAAATTTCCTGGTAGACATATGTTAGATGACAAAGAAGTATGCTAGTTAAATATATGATATGCATGGATTAACTAACTGATGTTGTCATCAGTTCTTAAGAACTTGCCCGCCACAACATTACGTACAAAAAAATCTATGGAGGGAAAATGGTGGAGGAAGGGTACAAACATGATGCTGCTTGTGGAGCATGGAGGACGATAACAGATGGAGGTACGACTATCTTATAATCGATATGCAACTTCCCCCTCCATGTGAACGTGCAAATTTCACTCATGACGCCCCACCCCAACGCCATTCTAGTACGATATGCAACTTATGCATCTATCTTGACCAACTATCTGGCGGTCGGTGTGCAACTCCGAAAGTATGGTTGTGCAACTCTAGCTAAACTTTGAAATATATACATATGCGATCTAATTTTGAAGAGCTAGTCATGAGGCTTATAACTTCTCACGTCTAGCTAATTTTTGAGTAAGCAATGCGAGTGCGAGACATCTTCTAGTCAATTTAGTATCGCCGCGTTGTGCAACTTTCAATGGTCGTATTCACCTGAGAACTACTTTGTCTGCATTTATAACAACTATGAATGTCAACAGAAAAATGACTAGCAAAAATAGATCAACTTAAATAAAAACATCATCTAGACAACTTAGTATCGTCGTGTTGTGCAATTTCCTAAATGGTTGTATCCAACTTTGGACTACTACCATGACCTACTTAGTACATTTTTTCTCTAATAGTCCCTTTGCATTTTTTCTGAAAAGAAGCAAATAGAAAAGAAAAGGATCAACACAGCAGCCGACCCACAACCCCTCACTCTCTCTCCCCCTACAGCCCAATGCATGTCCCAGCCAACTCTCTAACTCTACAAGCCCAAAGCCTACTCAAGCCTCCCGTATCCCTGCCCCTGACAGCCCTCTCCCCTGCACTTGCTCCCACGCGCAGCCGCCGTTGCAAGACGCACGCGCGCGCGACCCTATTGCCCCTCCGGCCGGCGAGCTCCTCAGCTCCGCCACGCACCTCTGTTAACTCCTCTTCTCCCACTTCCTTCCCTCCTCTCGGATCCCCTGCGGCAACCCAAGCAATGGCCATTCCGCTCGGCTTGACTCCTCGCCGGTGCCAATCGCCGCCAGCGACCGACTCGAGCTCCTGGACTCCACCGCCGCCCTGCTCCGGCAGCTCGCCGTAGCCGCCCAAGCGTCGGCCTCGGACCCCGTTAGCGTTGTCTTCCCTTGCAACCACCGCCCCTGCCTTGACCATGTGAGAAGAGCGATGAGCCCAATCCAACCAAGTGACACCTGGCTCCCTCACGCGGCGAATCGGACATGATCCAGTGGCCAGGAGCCGGCCGCTCGCGATGACTAGAAAGTGCGCGTGCACTTTTTAGATTTTAGGTTTATTTTGAGACAGGCCGACGCTTACAGATGTGATACAGTTAGCCCATTTACTCACGGCCCATTCGCTAAGGCCGTAGCCGTGATTTTCACTCCCCTCCCTCATCGCTCTGCTCAAAATAAAACAAAATAAAATCCCCTGCGTCCTCGCTCGCCACCGACGGCGCCGCCGCAGCCGCCGCCATGTCCATCGTGGCGGACCGCTCTCACCCGCGTGAGGAAGGCCGCGCGTCGACTCGCGCCCGGTACGCCGAGCAGCAACCACCATCAATTCCTCCTCCTTGGGCCTTCGCTGCTCCCCTGACCTCTCCTCCGTTTGTGTTTCTTTCCGCAGATCTTGCTCCGATTTCCCCAGCCGGCCGCCGGCCGAGAGGCTCACCGACGACCTCCTCGTGGAGATCCTCTCGCGCGTCCCCGTCAAGGAGCTCTGCCGCTGCAAGTGCGTCTCCAAGCACTGGCTCGGCCTCATCCACCACCCCGACCACCGCAAACGGCTCCCCCAAACCCTGGCCGGCTTCTTCTACGGCCGCATTACCAGTACCACCGGGCAGCGGGTTCTGGAGCTGCCCTTCCGCTTCACTAGCATCTCGGGGGACGGCCGCTCTCCGGTCGGCACCTCCTTCACCTTCCTGCCCAACCACCATCTGCCCGTCGATCTGCTCGACTCCTGCAACGGCCTCCTCCTCTGCCGATGTTACCACGTTTCCGATGGAGTTGGCGCATTCCATTATGTCGTGTGCAATCCCGCCACCGAGAAGTGGATCGTTTTGCCCAACTCCGGCAAGGACAGCAGCCAGGTGGCCACCACATCTTTGGGCTTCGACCCGGCCCTGTCACCGCATTTTCATGTGTTTGAGTTGGTACAGCAGCACAATTATGGCGAGAATAAGAATACCGACATTTCCGGAGTGACAGTGTATTCGTCTGAAACCGGGGAATGGATTTACAAGGAGAAGAGATGGAGCAGAGCTACTTGGTTTGCTAGTTGGCACTCCTCTGCGACAGTTTTTCTCAATGGCCTTCTGTTTTTTCGTGCCCTTGACCTTAAATTACATGATTGTGTAGCCGCGGTTGACACAAAGGGAGAAATATGGATGAAATTCAGGGTCCCTGGTGGTCAGGTTGATGCTTTTGTTCAGCGGTCGATATTCAGGGCCCCTGCTGATCAGTTTGATGATTTGGATCTGGCTCATGGTTTTATTCAGCGGTCGCAGGGCCGCTTGCATTATGCCAACTTTCAGAGGGATAAATATGGTGTTGCCATTTGATTACTAGTTCATGTTCTGGAGAACTATCAAGACAAACAATGGATATTGAAGCATAGCATTGAAACCTCAAACATATTTGGATGGACAGATTTGTGGCTTGATGCGGATTTTGATTTTATTGCGATTCATCCGGAATGCAACTTGCTGTTCTTCGCTGTGGGGGGTATCACATTCATGTGCTATAATATGGATAATCGGCAAGTCAAAGTGATCTCTCATCTTGCAGATGTCAAGCCGCTATTTCTGCCTTATGCGCCGTTGTACACAGAATCACAATCATTGCACATTTGACGTCAATATGAGATTGCTGCTGCCTTTATAAGAAGTGGATCTCTGATAGGATTCAATTATTCATGATATGGAGCAGCGGGCTTAGTATGTCTGCTTGAATTTGGCTCTCATTTTCTATGACTGATGTATCCATGTTTTCATTTTGGAGCAATGGTGGTTCAGTATGGAGGGAACTTGACTAATTTGTCTTCCAAATTTGTACTGAACTTTCTGTCATCTGTACTGGTTTCTGGTTTGGGCAACTTGTATGTCCGTGCATTGGTTAATCTTGTGTAGTGTTTGTGTTAAGGTACTATGATCATTTTGTAAAAGGCATGGGCAAAGATTATCATGAAGCCTAAACTTTTGTCCAACACCATCTTGCGGCTTAATTTTTTTATCTTCTATTTACAGGCATAAGCATCTTTTTAGCGGTGATTTAGTAGACAACCACTTGTCTGCTAATGATATAATGTGTGAAATTCTGCTGATGATGTGATGTGGCAAATCATAATTTTCATTATGTTGTTAGAGGTTTCCTTTTTAGAACACAAAATCGGTCTTTGATGTGGGTATTGTTCAGTTAGGTAGCTTAAAAGAGTTTAAAATAAGCACTTCCGTGCGCCTTTTATTGTACTCGTGCTTTTTATAGCACATACAATCCCTGTAATGTTTCACGTACAGCAACTTCGCAGAGCTGTTTCTGAATTTTGACTCTGTTCCTATAACACTGAAATAACAAGGTTCATCGCTCTGTGTTGTGCTCTGGTTTTCAGCTTCAAGCCTCTGAAACAAACTGAAACTAATCTTGTGTGCCGCACTCCAGTCGTTAGCTCGCCTCTTGGTATCTGGGACGACACGGTTGTTCGGGAGCTTAATTGATTTATTGTCGGTCGGCGATCTCTATGGAGTAGAGATCGACATGTAAGAACACTTTCAGCATAGTCTAGTCAAGAAAAGGTGTGAGTGCTTTTTCCTGAATGAATGTCAATTAGGTAACTAGGTCAGCATGCATTCTTCTGGTTATAGGGTATACATATTCCTGAAATCAGAAAATTAACTCATGGCTACTCTCAGCTCTCTACAAAACTCGGCAAACACACATTCGGGAAAAACTTTAAGCACAAAACGCCACGCTTAAAGGGTTAATCAGAACTAACAAACAAATGGCTATACAACAATAAATAAATAAACAAGAGAGTACATCAGATTGTATATGTACAGATGCTGAATTCATCGTTAGTAATACAATGACAAATGTGTGCCAAGGCATATCAGCAAGCCACAATTGCAGGATGCTTCTGTATGAAACTACAAATGTTATCTTAGGCATATATAGAGGGTACAGTGGTAAAAGCATGTTCCTCCCAAGAGTAAAAAACCATAGTGATTAACCTTGAAAAGTTAACCCCGACTGTCACTTCTCATATACTGAATTTAAGCATGTTAAACTCGGGGGCGGGAGATCGATCATGCCAAAAATGCGATGATGATTCGGATCTCCCATGCATCTGATGATGGCCATTTTCATACTGGTCATGGATTGGGAGGAGAACTGACGGGTGTTAATCATTATTTTAACAAGGCATAAATTACTGGAGAGGGGCACCCATATCACTAATTTGATCAAACATGAAGGATGTATGCTTTGAGTTATAGCTGAATACTGCTTTGTGTAGCTAACTTCAGACGACTATAAGGCCACCACTGAATTATAACATGTTCGTTTCATATATAACTGAATTTAAACATGTTCAACTTGGGTCTGGCAAATTAATCATGCCAAAAACGCGACGACGATTCAGGCCAAGAGGGAGGGTTATCTCCCTTGCATAAGAACATCTCTAGCAGACCCCTTATATCGTGCCGAACTGTAAAATAACCGACATAAGGTTTTGCGCGAAAAAAGTGGCCTGAAAAGACACCATATTGAACTGCAGCCTGTAAAAAATTTTGCGGGGGCGGCAAATCTTCTCCCTCAACCTTTAGATACAAGGGGTGGTAGGCCGACCCGAGCTTGACCCCTATCGGCAGCTATATTTGGCGGAAGGGACATTTCCGCACTGCAGTTCTCGCTTCCTTTTCCCTCCTCACGGTTGATCTCCCTCTGCCCGCTCCGGACCACCTTCCCCGACTTTGTATCACCGCCATGGAAGCCTCCCAGCCTTTGCCCGTCACTATGGATGTCATCCACGCGGCAACCCCTCCGACAGATCTCGTCGCCAGCCATGTCGCGCCCGTCACCGCTCAAGGCTCCACCGCGCAACCCCATAAGTAGCAGGGCAACGTCGTCGTCCAGGGCGGCGCTCCTGTAGCCCCGCCAGGAAGGCACGCGCGCCCGCTGCCGTCGTCGCTGCAAATCCGGTCCGGCCGACGCCGGTGAAGAAAGCCAAGGTTTCGGGTGTGAAACACAAGAAGGCTACCAAAAGAGCTCCCTCGCCAACAACTCCGCCGATTGCCCCGGCAAGAGCTACCCCGAGGATGCCTGCCGACGACGTTGTTGCCGCCGCCTTGGAGGTGTTCGACGAAATGGGCGCAATGTATGATACTTCGATTTCTTCTAGTTCTTTCACTTTTCGCCATTGCGCTTGCTCATGACTTGTTGAGCGAAATTGTAGCGCCGGCTTGCATGATGCGACTGCCGAGTTTGTGCACTTGTTGGACGACAACACTGTCGAGATCGATCAAGTGCCGATCGGTGATTACGGTTACGATGAGATGGATGGTGGCGTGCACGATCATGGTGAGGAAGAAGATGAGGTGGAGGAGGTGGACGAGGGAGTGTTTGAACAAGCGCAAGAAAAAGTGCGCGCAAGATCGAAGAACTACACGCAATTGGAAGATGAAATCTTGATCAAGGCTTGGGAATCGGTGTCTCTTGATGCGTGCACCGTCACTGACCAAACCACCAAGCGATATTGGCAAAGGATAGAGGATCAGTTCTTCCGCATGATGGCAAATTAAGTATCCCAACAGGACGCCATACATCTTTAGGTCACTTCAAGGTCGTTGGGACGTGGTCAAACCAATTTGTAGCCTTTGGGCTGCTTGCTTGGAGCAAGTCCGTAATGCACCTCCAAGTTTTCCCGTTGAATTCGATTATGTGAGTTTGTTTTCACGTCTCAAGTTGTGCAAATCATTTGTAGCCGTAGGAGCGGTTGCATAATTTGACATTTTTTTCATTTTGTAGGACAAAATTGCACAAGAATTAAAGGTACAAGGACATGGAAGCTTCCGGTGGCAAGTCATTTCAACTAAAGGATCGTTGGAGATTTCTTCAAAATAGCGAGAAGTGGAAGTTGATTGAGAAAGAATCCCCACTAAAGAGAGGTGCACTCACCAAGATGGATGATGATGATGGCCCAAGAAACAAGAACAAGCCCGATGGAAACAAGAAGGCCAAGGACAAGATCAAGAGGGAAGCGGAGACATCAAGCTTGCATGATAATCTAGATCACATGGTCAAGTCCAATGAGGCATTGGTGATCAAACATTGGAGGCAAAGAAGGAGTTGGCCGAGAAGAAGGCTCAAGAGAAGCAAGAGAAGTTGCAACTACTCAAGGAGGAGACCATGCGCAAAGCCACCATTGAGAAGTGAAGAGCCTTGGCCGAGGAGAACAAAGACATGGCCAAGCTCCTTCAATAGGAGAGCAAAATCATGATGTTGAATCGAAATGACATGGATGAGCTCACCAAAGAATGGCATGTATAGTAAGGTTGGAGATCTTGGAGAGGAGGAGGCTAACCGGAAGAGGCCATGCAGTGCCAAGGTTCGGTGGGCATGGTGGTTCGGCAAGTGGTTGTGTCAATGGTGGCCATGAAGATCTCATCTTGTGATGATGATGATGGATGACTGATGATGGATGCAATGTCTTTTGGGTTGTAGCACGGAAACTATGTTCAAATGTCGCCAAAACAGTATTTGAATTCTTGGAATTTGTGTTTTATTTGTCAAAATCGCGTTCAAACGTTTTGCGTGGTTTTACGGTTTGATGGCCGAAATCGGCTGCGGCCAAATAGAGCCCGCAAACCCGAGCGGTAAAAAAGATATTCTCTTTGCCGCGGGATATTCTCTTTTACCGCTTGGGTTTACAGGCTCTATTTGGCCACAGCTGATTTCGGCTTTTAAACCATGTTTTCTCGGCTTTTATCTGTGTTTAAGACTCGTGGGTTTAAGGGGTCTCCTAAAGATGCTCTAACCAGGCCAAAAATGAAGGCATGCTGGTGCGGAAGAAGGTGCATCTGATGATGGCAATTTGCTAGGATCATGGCCTGAACTTGTGCACCCTGCTCTGCTGCACGGTGCCAAAATGAAGCAGCAAACTGCCCGTAAATCCTGAGTCAGTTGTCACTTCTGATTCGATCCCGCCTGCGCTCAAACCTGTCGACTGTCGTGGATTGGGAAGAGAAGAACTGACAAGTGATAATCAGTGTCTTAACAAACTGCGGAACGAATAGAGACACTTCCGTCGTGGGCTGGTGTTTCGAGCTACACAACAGAACCCAAAACAAGCTGCGCAGCAACAGTTTACATACTAACCGTGTGTGCCAATTCCTCCATCTTCGGAGCTAATGGATGTTCAATTGGTATCAGAGCAAGGTACTTCCTTGTTCTGTGTGATTTTGGTTTAACCGCCTGGAGTTTTAGTTATGTCAACTGCAGGTATGATCAAGGTCTCTGCTGGGTGTCCTACCTTCGATGGAACGGACTACCCCTATTGGAAGAATAA